TATTGTACTGGTTGTAATGACGTTTTTCTTTCAATTTAGGAAAATGAAATATGTGAGAATAATACAAAGAATTGTAAAGTAACTACATTAAATGGTAAGTGTAATTTATGTCAAGAAAACACGTTTTATAATTACGAACAACAAACTTGTGTTCAACAAAATTATTCAATTGATAATTGTAGTCTAATGAATTTTGATAATGATCGTTGTATAAGTTGTCAAATGGGATTTTTTGAACAAAAGAATATCTATGTTAAATGTCCAAACAATTGTAAAAACAGTTATGACAAAAATAACTGTATTCTCTGTGAGACTGAATATTTTCTTTATAACAAAATGTGTTTGTCTAATTCCACTGTAACTAGTAATTGCAAAAGGCTCATTCAAAGTAGTTCAATGTGTGCATTGTGCGAAAACAAGTATTATAGAAATGTTAATAAAAATTGTGATAATTGTTTACAAGGTTGTAAAAATTGTTACACAAAAGACAGATGCATTTCTTGTGAAAAAGACCACTTTTTAACAACAAACTCGAGCGCATGTTTGTCATTTGATTTACTTTCAAATTGTTTACAAAAAACACAAAGTGGATGTTTGCAATGTTCTGAAGGGTATTTCGTACTCGACCAAATTTGTGTTTTGTGTTCTTTCAAAAACTCAAATTGTGAAAAATGCAATCCAAATTTTTTTGTACTTCATGTAAAAAGAATTATATTTTATCATCAACTTCACAATGTGTTTCAATGAATGTTGTGAGAAATTGCATTGAAGTAGTCAATTCAGAATGTTTTCAATGTTCATTCTGGCACAATCCAAGTGAGAATGGTTTATCTTGTTATACACAAATAGTTAGGTGGGTTATATTAATTTGTGTCATCGTTGCATTGTTGATATTAACAACAGTTATTATATTGGTTGTTATATTGTTTGTGAAAATATTCAATCATTTAAAACATAAAAATCAAAGCCGTCATATGTGTCTTTTCACAATGAATAAATCAAATGTTCAATTCGAAAAAAGTGAAATTGACGGTCTTGTTTTAAACAAAAGAGAAATTCGTTTTTCGAATAATGATATATATGAAAATAAAATCCCAATTTATAAACTAACTCGTGAGTTGAATGTACACTTTTTTCAAAAAAGCAGTCATCGAATACTTTTTATATTTTTAATGTTATTGTGATAACACCTTAAGTATACTTTTCTTAAAGCTAAGCTTTTGTTTTTTGAAAATTTCATAAATAAAATATATTTTGATTAAAATAGTTATTGATTTTATCAGCTTTTTGAAATAATATATTTTAAAACCAGTCACTTATTTTTCAAAACAATAATCCTGTTATTTATATTTTAAAGTGCGTTTTTAATTCTTAAAATTTATAAAGAAAAATGTTTTTTGAAGATCGTTTTTTAATTTTTTACAAAAATAAAACTAATAGAATTAATTTTAAAAAATACTTCCCTAAAACAATAAACATAATAAAAGCAAAAACAAAGGACACTTTAGTTGTGACTCTTATTTTTTTATATTTGTATGTTCTAAATTAAAAACAAAATTGTCTTTTTAAATATATCAAACAATGTATTGATTATGTAATTTATTTGTTTTATTTTTTATTATTTTGAATAAACAACAACATTTACCAAAATGTTGAAAGTCGTTGATAAACTGATAGTATTATGTTATTAATTATAACAATTCAACTATTATAACAAGAAAATAATATAAGATTAAATAATCAAATCGAGTTTAAAGTAAGTAAAATATTAAGAAAATACATATTATTATAATACAAGTTTGAAATTATGACATTTTCGTTATTTGAAATTAATTTATTATATTAAATTTTTACTATTATTATAATTAACGAAAAATTGTTGTTTTTATACGACAGATTAAGCAAACTAAAATGAATAATATAAATAACAACATTTAAAAAGTGATTTTAATTAAATTTTAAATGGTTTGAGTTTGGATTATTTATTCTCATAATAAACCAATATGAGAATAAAAATCATTTTTCAAAATATATTAAAATGAATTAAACATTTGAATATTAAAAGTTATACTAAAAATAACAATTGTTTTTATTATTTATGTTTGGGAAAAAATGTAAAAATTAAAGGAAATAAAAAATTAAAAATAGAACATGTTTTGTTAATTTAAAAATAAGAAATAATATATAGATTTAAAATTTAATATTTTTCTTAATTTTGACGAAAACAATTAATTTATTATAAAATTTAATATAACAAATTTGTATATAATATTTTAAATATAAGTTTGAAAATATACAGAGTATTTTCCTTAATTTAAATAATAATGCAAATATAAACATAATTTAAAAAATTGAATTATTAAGAATTAATAAAAATAATTAAACATAATAAATTTTTCATAAAATAAAAATAAAAAAATTGAAATGAAAAAATATTATAATAATATTTACAAAAATTGTAAAGGAAATAAAATTTATTCGAAAAAATATATAATAAAAACTGTAAAATAGAACAACAAATTAAATTGTTTAAAACACTTAGTCGTAAAAATGAACCTGAAAGTGTGAAAACACTTAGTCGTAACAAATGAACCTGAAAGTGTTTAAATCATAAAATCAATATTATAATGAATAATTCATTATATTTCATACAAATAATCATTATAAT